CATAAAGAATGAGAAATTAGACTCATTCATATGAAAATGGATACATATTGAGGATATACTCCTAAGTGAAATAAATAAGTCACATGTGTAAATACTGAATAGTTTCTCTGGTATGAATAAATTATAATAGTACATAAGACCCTAATGAGATAATTGACAATGTGAAATAGGAAGAAAAGGGCTAAAGGTGTAGGGAAAGTGGGAAGGGTAGGGGAAAGATAATTAGGGAAAAGAAAAAAATATGAGAAAATGAAAAAATGGAAATAAAGTGTTTGTAAATGGGGAGGGGAGGAGGGGGTGAAGGGAGGGCAGGGATGGGGAAAAAATGAGAACCAAGACCTGTCATGTAAAGGTCCCAGATCCCAATGTAACTGTACGGTACCTAAAATGTACCAATAAACTCAATGAGGGGGAAAAAAGTGCAGAAGAGGGCCAGGATGTAGTTCAGTGGCACTGCGACTACCTGGCAAGGGCAAAGTTCTGAGTTCGATTCCAGATACCAAACAGTCCAGAAGAGACTGGAGCCTGTCACTCAGGGCCTTTTTTCCGTATATCACACTCAGTTTTAAATCTCTTAAGATACCTTAAAATACGAGGTCCACGTTGAATAATGGAGGACAAGAAGTCCATGTAATGGAAAACGGAGGTTGCAAGATTTCGCTGTATATACTGTATATGCAAAAAAATAAAATTGAAGAGAAAAAATTTCATTTATAATAGTATAAAATAAAATGAAATGCCTCTGAATAAACTTAAGAAATGCCCAATGTCTATATGAAACAGTAAACCTTTCTGAAAGACGCAAAAGTAATCTTTTATGAACAGAAAGAATACTATGTACCCCAAAAGAAAGACTCAATAACATACAGACAGCAGTTCTCCCTAATTCATAAATTCATTGCAATGCTAAGTGTTTATGATGCCATCTTTCTTGGGCCGGGGATTTAGCTCAGTGTTCTGCCTCCTGTCTCACAAGCACAAGGACCTGAGTTCAATCCCTGGTACCAAAAAAAAAAAAAAAGAATCCATCTTTCTCTTCTTCTAGAGTTAATTATATATTTCATTTGTGAGCACAAAATCTAAGAGTCAGGAAGAAGAAAAAAACAAACAAACAAGAAGAGTCAGTGGGGTGGAGAGGGGCAACTCTACCAGATATTAAAACACATTAAAGTTTCTATAATTAAAAATTTAGTAATGACACAATAAAGATAGGACAACTTCAGGGTGTGGTGGTACACACCTGTAATCCCAGCATGTGGGAGGCTGAGGCAGGAGGATCACTGTGAGTTCGAGACCATGGTGAGTTCCAGGTCAGTCTCAACTACATAGTGAGACCCTGTCTCAAAAAAAAAACAAAAAAAAAAACCCAAGATAGGACAACCAATAGAACAGAGTAGGAAATCTAAGTAGGCTCTATGGCATATGGAAATTGAGTGCTTATAAAAAAGGAAGCATTTGAAAACACTGAAGGAAAGAGTGGATACATGATCAGAGGTAAATGATATTCTGACGAGGAGTCATAAGAAATACAGTAATATTGGATCAATCTCTCATTTTACACCAGGGTCAATTCTAAAGGTATTCTAGATTTAAATGTTCAAAAAGAAACCACGCAAGAAGAAATACAGGTGAATTCGTTTATAACCTAGATGTAAGAAGTTTTTTCCTTTGCCAAAAATTTTAAATTCCACACTACAAAAACACCATTAGCAAAATGAAAAGATAAGCAACAGGCTAGAAACTGCATTTGCAACTCTGTACACAAAAGGTTAATATCCCATTTTATAAGTACCATTTAAAATGTGAAGTTGAGAAAAAGCCAACAATACTCTAGTTTTAAATAGGCTAGATAGAGTTGGAAACACTTGACACGAAAATGGCTCTTAATGGCGTAAAAGGATATTCAGCTGCACCCCTATTGAAAGAAATTTTAAAATCTTCCTGAGACACCATTTTAACCTATCAATCTGTCAAAATATTAAACGTGTCCCTCTATTGTGCTGCTGAGGCTCTGGGAAACAGGGATGTTTACACAATGCTCATAGAAAATATCACCACCCCTATGGAAAAGAGTTGGGCAATATCTACACAAATGTTATATATACATATTTGACCTCACCTAATAATCCGACTTCTAGAAATCTCTCCCAATGACATATTGGCAAAAATATGAGCCAGAAATATGTATAAGCCTGCTCATTTCAAACTTGCCTACAAAAACCAAAAGGCTAGAAACAGTTTGAACACCTCCCAAAAGGGCCTAGTTGAGTAAAGGACGATAATCCACGAAAGGAGTTAAGAAGTGTGTCTTTAACTGCTGTGGAGTGATCTCACTGAGCTAAAAGGCAAGGTGAGGAAGGGTGTTTCATTCTACCACCTCTCTCAGGAAGGGAAAGCGACATGAACAGAGACGTCTTTGTTCGCATTGCAAAATGAACAGAATGTTTTTAAATGATCACTTATAGAAGCAGGGAGGAAATGGGGTAGAGGAGAAGGAACGGACACTAGTTTTTACATTTATCATGTCAGCTGGAGATGAACTGTGAAAATATTTTATACAATCACAAAATCAAATCTTAAAAAAGCGTAAAATTAAAAGTAAATGAATCCAACTATATATCAAGTTGATGACATAAATATACAGAAACCATTCCAAGTTATTTTTTAAACCACAGTAATTTGACTATACAGCCCCAGGGGAGATGCAGAAGAGAACAAAACAAAACAAAAACTTAAATTCTCCATAGTAATATTGTTGGTGGTAGGGTTGGCACAGTTATTCTGACACTGGTGTGTGTATGTGTCATATAAGCTGCAGGATAACATAAACAAGTAATTTGAGTTATGAAAAACAGAATTTTAGTGTGAGTAAAAGGAGATAGTTAAAAGATAGATTCAGTTCAGTGATAGATCTTTAGTACTGAATTTAAATAGGAACTATCAGTGTAGACGCATCATATATGTGATCATAAAATAAATATATCTCTATCTTCAAATGTGACCACTGGAAAGATCTAGAAGCAGTGAAAACATCTAGAATCAATGGCCAATCAAGTACCAATGAGCAAGTAGCATTTTTTTAACCTCAGATTTTGAAAATCAAAATCATCTTTCACCAAAAGATCAGCGCTCCTTGGAGGAATGGCTGAATCCAGGATTGGGAACAGGAAACATACAAGATGAGCGGAAATATTTCACCAGTCGGAAGGCAAGGAATTGATAAAGAATTCTAGGATCATGTCAAAAGATACAGAAAGCAATTTCAACAAGTGCCCACTATCCAAAGATGGTTAAGTATCATAACCACAGTGGATTGAAAATATGTTTGGATCCATGCCCATGTGTTCAGTACAATATTAAAAAAACACTAGTTAATCACCGTTGGAGTCTTCTGGGGAACCAGCTTATTATGAAAACAGGTACACAATGAGGGAGAATCAAGGATATTCCTGCCTTTCCTATAAGACCTATAGATATATCAGCTGAGAAAAATAAAGGTAGGAAGTATCTTTGTATGGAAGTATTCCAACTGGTAAACTAGAAAGAACAAGTATTAACTTATCTTTATAACCATATTAAAATAGAACCATAACAAAAACATGGTTCCAGGCCACAACAGCCATCACATAGCAGCTAATATCATAAAAGGAGACCAACAAACGTTACACACCCATTGGTAGAGCAGCAACACCACGTATGAAGTAATCTCAAAAAAATTCAGAACTAAATGGGATCTAAGCCTCAAGATAAAACTAGTAATTTACAGAAAATACCAGGGTCAGGATAAGCACAGTGCGGAAATCAGCGAAGAACACGGTCTAGAAACCTTAGACTAACAGACCCGCTATTTTTTCAATAATTAAAAATTGCAAGGGAAAGTAAAGAGGCAGAGGGAGAAACAGAAATCAAGAGAACGAGCTGACATATTAACCCATGGAAATGGACTTTGTTTGGATCACTAGTCAAATAAACATTAAAAATACATTAGAAAAAAATGAGAAAAAGTGAACAGAGTTGCTATTTGATGGTATTGAGGAATTAAGTTTTAAATGTGATCATAGTTGTCAAGTTATGTGTTTTATTAAAAGCATCCTTATAAGTAAAACAAACCACACATTTGTAATCACTGAAGGTGGATGATGAAGGTCTGTCAGACCATTCTTTCTAATATGTCTGAAAGTTTTGTAATATAAGTGAAGATAAAAGACCTACCTCATAGGGGTCAGTCTATGGATATTAAAAGAAATAATGTACAGGGGCCGGAGATTTAGCTCAGTGGTTCCGCCACCTGCCTCGCAAGCTCAAGGACCCAAGTTTGATCCCCAGTAACAAAAAAAAAAAAAAAAA